CCATTGTATATTCATTCAGAAAAGAGCTAAACTTGCATATTCATATGCAATGAAGACAAAAATAAATATTTGCAAAGGTAAACTATACATTTAGATTATAAAGATAATTGAGTTGATTTCCTTTAATGAGTGTTCTCTATTTTACAATATTTGGGATTATTTTTTATTTATAAATATATAATCTTTCATCAATACATGTCTAGAAATGGCCAAATTATTCACTGAAAAAGCATTTATTCATTAAGGTTCCTGATTTCAGGCCTCGGGTAAACTGGGTTTCATATCTACTTGTTTGCAATTTGCGCTATTTCTGCTTCAACCCATCAGTTATTTGTGAACTGCTAACTTGATTATTCTGTAACCGTGACACATGATTGGGCACAAAAATCACATGGCATGTTTCCATCTCACTGGAAGGCAATACTTAGAGTGACAAACTGATTGTAGCTGAGAAAGAATCATCTTATTTACAGGTTTTTCTATGCCAGCTTGGACATTTGTACACTAAGAGGTCCTTACAAGCCTTTTTTTTTTGAATAAGAATTCCTTTTTACAGATGTTCATATATAGCAGTGACAGCCACAGAAATACTAACAAGGTAAAAAGCAGTTTGAAATTTTTAGCAAACTCTTATTACTACTGTTTTAAGGAAGCAACCTTGTCCTCTGAATTTAGAGAGCAGCGTGATGTGTTACTTCTTGCAGTGAATTGCAGATCTCACTCTCCACCATTAGCGCAGAACAATCTGGTGGTTGCACCTTAATGTTGCACAGAAAAAGACAAGGTGAAGAATTTGGTTCTTTCTAATGTCTGGAAAGAACTATAGAACAGTTAAAGACTCTTGGCCAAAAGTGATGCCCTGGCAAAAAAAGCTGAGCTTAAAAATGATTTTGTTCAAGGAAGAGAGGCTCTTGTTGCACAATACTGACCAGGCTTAGCAAATGTAAGGACAAAGAACAATGCTAGTACTGCCAGAAAATCAATACTGTTACAGGCTATGGCAATTAACTACAAACCAATTTAAACCCCATTTCCTTTTCACCTTTCTTGTCTCATTGAAATACTTCCAACCCTTCCATCTGGAGCAATTATTACTATTATTTCTAAATGCAGAAACTGAAGAAAGTCTGAATACATAGGTGGGTCTATATCATCTTCTCACCTATCCTTAGTAGGTACCTTCAAGGTTTCATTATAAAAAAAGGATGGACTACAATATCCCACTGAATTCTCCAGTGACAAGTGAATTTATAAAAATTGCGGAGGTGAATTTCATTAAAACAACAAAACCACACATGTACAAGGTAAAAGCAGAACTTGTCCCATAAAGCTTAGAAACCCTATTCATAAAGCAAGGAATTCAGTGTGCTGGGTGTAATGCAAATGCACACAATGCGTGCCCATCTAGTTTGTGATTTAAATGTCAGCAAGCATAAATATGTACAGAAATGGAATTATAGAGAGTTGGGAACCATAAATAAAAAAATAAATCAGATGTCTAAACAATCCTGAACTACCTAGGAAAACCCTGAAATCAATGCAAGTCCTCACAGCATCCAGAGTTCATTTCTTTGCTTTAGTTTTATCTGTAAAGTGATTACCTAATGTGATCTAAATTTTGCTTCCTTCTCCAAGATTTACTATTAGTATAGCCATCTCAGAAGTCTTCTGCTTTTAATTTCTTCTGACCAACAGAACCCTTTGTTTCCCCAGACAGACTAGTGGCATCTGTTTATACCACCTTTCAGCATGATTCAGAAGAAACCAGTGTTAATGCTTAGGTTTAGCACTGTTACCGAGGGTGACTCAGCAATAGTTTTCCTACTCTGATCTAAATCTCTCAGTTAAAATTTCTGAAGGAAAGCTGACGGATCTTGCATCTACAGCTATATATCATTTTTACAGCAAAATTTGCTTGCTAAAACAGTAAATAAACAATAGTACTCATTGAAAACATAACTGAACCTTCCTTTAGGAGAATGCTTTTCCAATGCTGAGGAAAGATATTGACACTCAGTTTCCACTTCAGAACTCATTTAATGGGCAACCCAAAGTGTCTCAGAGTAGGCTAGGAGTTAAAATTTCACTTGTGTAATTATTCTGAGGAAATATGTAAGTCTGCCATCTGGAAGTGTATTAGACATTACAAAGTCACTGTGTGCATGCCTCAGCAGATGCAGCTTTTGTTCAGAGTTTTGAGGGCTGTTAATTTAATTAGTTTTGTATTTTCATACTCCCACCTTCCCTCCAACAGTAACTCTGCAAAGGCAGTATCAGTACAGCTTTAAAAGAATCCAAAGCTAAAAGCCAAATTCAGATTTTAAGGAAATGCAAGCAAATATACTTCCTATGGACTTCAAATAGAGCTTGACCTGTTCGTTAGCAGGCCTAAACATTTCTGCCAGTGGCTTTTTAGACCACAACAAAAAATTGTGCTCAATGTATCGTTTCCTACATTAGTTTTCTTATTTTAAGAAGGCTAGGAAAGGATTCTATCATTTTGTTTTCTTTGTTTATTAAAACCACTCAACAACAATGATCTGCAGAATGTAAAAAGTCTCTCATTTTTTCCTAATGCCTTTTATGTAATGGGATACCAGACAAATATTTAGGTTTGATTTTTTTAGTTTTGTAGGGCTTTTTCTGTCAGAATAGTAAGCTGTGTGCATAGTAAAAGTAAGCTACATATTTCTGAGTAAAGAAAAGTTTGACAGTTCTAAAAACTAGGACCACTACTGGCCTAAAAATAAGGACTACCCCTTTACAGTTTCTTCAAGTATTTTACATTTTTTATCATGACTTGCAAACTAAATAATGTGACATTTCTACCAAATAATTTATAACATACAGTATAACAACTATCTCTGATGAAAGTGTGTACATGTACAGATATATATCTATTTGCTTATCTCTAACCTTTAACCCTGTAAGTTGCAACACATGAGCAGATCTCTTGTCAGTGCAGGTTCCTAATAACTGCATGGATCTCTATGCAGTAATGCAGAACTATAAAACCAAGTTGTTTATGAGATTGTAAAGCTATGCCAAAACATCATCCTGCAATATTTGACAACATTCAGAATTTCTTTCAAATGAAAATCCAGCCAAGGCACACAAGCTAGCGATGAACCCAAAATCGGTGCTGTCTGCACAGCCCAAGAAGCTCAGGCCTTAGGGATGAGGTAAGCACACACAGCTAAGAGCAGGAACGCAGGAAGAGAGACAATTTCTAGAAAGCTATGCACTTTCACAGTTAACAGCAAGATCTTCATATAGTCAAACATTTTATGAAGAAACTGAATTCAAAAATCAAACAAGGCTGATACAGGGTAAAGCTCAGTGATCTTAAAGCCTAGAAGCTTTAGAAAATGTTTGTTAACACCCATTAGGAAGACGTGTATGCTATAGTTTGGAGTTTAACTAACGAGGATAATTTACACTGGAACAGCTCATCAGGTTACCACACAAATACCTAGCTGCCCTGCTGCATGGATACCTGAGCTTCTTAACAAACAGTTTCTGAAAGCAGAGGAGTTTACAGCCCGGTATTGATTACAGGTCACCTGAAAACATAACAATGTAAACTGCAGCTGTCCTGTGTCCAGCTGTGCAGCAGGAACAGAGAGTTGTGGGCAGTAACTGCATCAGACATCCCAAAATAATCATCCTTGTTCACAGACAGAAGCTTTTCATGTACATTAGTTTCCAGTTATTATAACATTATCTAAGCCAGTAAATAAATTAAGAAAATAGGCATATTAGCTATAGTAAGAGAGAGATTCTTATAATCAATGCTACAAAACAGGAAACTATACTAGAGTATGGCTGAAATGCTAAGGATACCCTGGGTTGCTCCTTCCAGCAAATATTTGTTGATCATACTGGATTTCATAATTTTGAGAATCTGAGGAACTTTGTGAGTTTTTTGTTTTGGTTTGTGTTTTGTTGGGGTTTTTTTTAAATAATAAATGAATATCAACTATCAAACCTAAAATTTCCTACTTAGTAGGAGAAGGTGTTTTGATAACACTATGAAAAGACACCATAACATTGTACCCATAAGGGAAATAGTTTGCAGATGAAGAAGTAGTACTCTACCTAAAAGACTTCTGAATTTAGAGGATTATCTAAGAGAATCTGTAGGAAGACAGTAAAAACACTACAAACCTAATCAGATGAGAGATCAAAGAGACAACAAAGTCTGATAGGATTAGTCAAATGTCACACTGAGACTAGGAATATATATAAATACCTAGAGAGAAAATAATGATATCTAATGGCAGAAATACTGAAGAATACAGACAGTTTATAATAAAAAAAATATTTATTCTAAAACTATTTCCTAAAAACACAATGCACAAAATTTAAAATCCAGAGCCATGTTTTAATCTAAGCTTTATGTATTTATATATAACATATATACATATGGTCATGTAAATATAGAACATATCTAGATAGCTCTATATATACATAGATGTGTATATAAAATAGGTACATATGATGGGTTCCCCTATTTCTGTACTGAAATAAAGTTACCTTTAAACGTCTCAGAAAGGATACTGAAGTGCTGCTCTACCCAGTGTTACTCTCGGAAAACAGAAAGAAAAGGAGCAAGTGGGCAGCAGCCCTGCCGGGTACAGAAGAGGCAGCTGACGCTGGCTACCCAGGGAGAGCGAGTGGCTCTGCGAGGCTCGGGAGGGGGTGAGCCAGCTGTGATACCACTTGATACTTGAGACGGATCAGACTCCGTAACAAAAGGGGAACAAGTTGCATCAAAGACTTACTAAATCACCAAAAAGGAAAAACATATAGCATGTACTCGGTTCTGAAAAGTAAATAGCTGGTCACAAAGTAACTTTGTATCTACAGGAACAGAACCAGGAGCCAAATTTGGCTACTGAACAACACAGGAAACTCAAATTTGAATTTCTCACACAACTGAGATTTCAGCCTCAATGATTTATTGCATGTTCCAGATGCAATAATAAACATGCACTTACTGAACAGCTTTTGTCAGAATTCCTTTTCCATTGCTTCTTGACTTGTTTCTTTGCTGCAGTTGAATGAAGAGTTGCATGTGTCTGTTTTCGGGGATTTAAAGCCAGAATGTTCTGTAGAAAGAAAACAGAAAACATTAAAATATAGATAAAATTTCCAAAAAAGTTCAAAGCCTCTTAAATCACACCTCACACACTTATTTACAGTGCTATGCAAAAACAAAATACAATTACTCAATATTATAGCCCAACTTCATACGAATTTGTTCAAATTTGTATTGTCCACACCACTTAGATTTTGAGTAAAGACATTTCTAGGACTGCTAGAAAACAGAATTATACTTAGTGGCCATGGTAATGGTTTCCATTCCCAGATGTTTGTTATGTACAGCATATAGAAACACATAATTCTGCTTCATTATATCACTCCAAGGAACACTCATAAAACAGAACAAGCAAAAATATTTTAAAGGATCTGGGTTATTTCTGGATGTTTCATCATTTCAGTATAAATTCCAACTTCCCCTTCACAGGAACCTGCTTCTACACCTAGTGAGCTGACGAGTTAACTTCATTTCTCTTACAATGCTTTTATTTGCAAAGACATAACAAATGTTGGGAATATAGCTGTACTTTTAAGTGACAGTGGTGGTCTGACACCACAGGCAGAATTAAGTTTGTAATGTCTTTCATTATACTAGTGCAACTTGAAAAATTAAATCAGCTTTCTGGAACCTGAGCTCTTTTTCAAATCAGGCAAATGACAGGTTTCCACAGCAAAACTGACCTCATTTAATTCAAGGGGTGAGTGTGAACAGCGTGCAAGCGACAGATCCAGACTCAGGTCTGCGATGGAGAATGAAAACAGGCATATTGTTGGTTGTAGCTCCTGGAATTGGTTTTGTAAGTTTTCCTTTAAAAAAACTTGACTTTAGCACTATACTTCTCCACTGTGGTGAATAGGGTGTGCTTATTCTGTTACTATATGTCAAAGATGTGTGAGACTAACTTACAGAAATGGAGACTGAACATGATGAGTATGATGGAGTTATGAATATTATATTAGGATGTTTCCTTATTTTAAAAGTCTGCTTGAGGGGCTGATAATGATGAAAAAGTAATCTGTTGTATTAAGATTTTACTGTGTTGATGTTTATGGGGACTTTTTCTTTTTAAATGCAAAGGAGTCACTTTCTAATCAACTATTTAATGCTTACTCTGGACTGATCAGTAATCCATTTTTCCCACAAAACAGAAATCTCACCTACTTGAAAATTCTACCTGCAAATAATAACACAGCCCAACAGAGTAACTTCCAGCTTGCCTGAAGCACAGAGAGACAAAGAAGTGGGTTATAACATTCAAAAAGGTATAGACTATTTAGCAGCCTACATGCTGTTGACTTTCAGGAAGAGTTAGAGGGTGTAATCAGATGTGCCTCTGCAATTCCAGTAAAGATGCTGCTCCATTTCTGGGTGTTCCCCAGCTGAGTACCTCAGGCAAGATGTGGCAACCAAATGCATTCAGTGGTGGTTCATGCTAATTTATTTCATTCTTAATTAAAACAGAGCAGGGACATTCACATACGGGATGCCACTTACAGCATCTCAGTTGTTACTTTAATTTCTCGAGATGATCAAACTCAACTGTCAGAGCACATCTGACTCATTGCTGATAGGCTGTTGAGTACTCAAAGCACCCAAACCGGGCAGTAGGTCCTGAATCACACATACGCTTTAGCAAAATTTTGCCTACTCTCTTTTGTAATTGCTTAATGCAGTACTCTTGGCCATGAATATTATAATTATTTTAGCAAAATGAAATGAATTGCAAATTTCTAGTAATAAACTGTAACAGATGTACTCCACTGGGTACAGCACCAGTTGGTTTAAAACATGGAACAAATGGTGGGGCAAGCCAAGGACGGAAGAATCCCCATATGTTTGCTCCTGTTGGAATTCTGCAGCAGGAACATGGCTCCAAGCGCAACAGTTGCAGAAATCCAAAAGGACTATCTAGCGCAGCATGTCCCAGAATTACATCTGAAATAAAACTGGCACAGAACATACTAAATCATATATACAACATAAAAATTGCTTATATTGCCACTACCTAAAGAATATACTATCTGCCTAAATCTTGGATTGCTGACCAAGGTGGCTGTTCTAGCTAGAGGTCCCTGGTGTTTAAGAACTGCTCAGAAATTAACTGCCTAAATGGGAAAGCAATGTAAATGCTTTTGGGTCTGTTAAACTGTCAGAAAGGAAAATTAGTGAGGGTGTTTTCTTCCTATTCATTTCAGTTCCCTGGTTGGTTTTCTGCAGCTTACGGCTAGTCAGACATTTAGTAAATTCAACAAATAAATTCAGGTAGGTCAGCCAGTCAGTGGAAAATTACTGAGAAGAAAGTTCTAGAGGGAGTGTTACAACTAACACTTAATTTATGCACCCAGCTAAACAAAAATAAACCATCATGGACATGCAAGAAAGGAATCCTGAGACCTCCAATCTCTCAAACACAGTGGCCATCTGACCAGGGGGAGAGCTCATTGGTGAGGAGAATTATTTAGGTATGTGTGATCTTGCTTGTCCCGAGCCCATGCTTATTCTGCTACATAAATTCTCACTCTTGCCAGATGAGCTGTTGTTTGATCTCTCCAGATGTTGAAAGGGCAAGACTCAAGTTTCCCAATGCAGGATGTGGGTACATAATACATCACTTCTCAGAGTACTAAGAACTTTGGATTTCACATTAAGATGCTATTTGTATAGTAATGGCAAACCTATGAATTATATATTTTGTGTTTTACATAAATGGCCACATTTATTTCATTAAAAATAAAATAGGTATAAATCCATTATCATTAATGGCTGCAAATCAGAATATAATGCTACTGCATTTTTGTAGAAATCTATTTAGGTACTATGTTGATGAAGAAAGAAATAGGGCTGTGAGCAAGTACATAGAAGTAAATTCAGCCCATGTTGAGTACACACTTGTGGCACAGCCATACAACATGCATAGTAAGAGTTAAGCTTGCAGCTTTGCACAACACTGATGATTACGGGCACCACCAAAGTATTATACTTTCTTTCATTATTTCCATAGATTAATTTGAAGACTTCACTTTGGAAAAAAGCCAAGTGGTCTGTCTCTACAGAACACAACTCTATATATATTGCAGATGACTCCCTCAAATATGACTACCTTAAGGAATTCCTTTAATAATAACCCATAACAATGATTTCTTTTATGTCTTTTAAAAGACAAAGATTATTATAAGCTAAAAAATATTAAAGAATGCTTTAATTCCCTAATACATCCTCTTCTAGAAGGGAATGTATTCATTATAACTAACATATATTGATTTAGGTTGCAAGTATCCTAAAATGCTATAAACTACTCATATGTAATGTACATTGAGAATGACTAGCATATATAAGTGATAGCTACAGTTTTTAAATTTTGAGAATTTAGTGATAAATGCTTATGCTGATCTGTGCCAACACAGTAACATAGCTTTTGAGAATAAACTTGCCATAAGCTATTTATTAGATGTTTATTGCTCAGCTTCTACTTTAAAGGCTATGATTAAGAAGTCTACACAAAAATACTAGCTCTGATCTTCACTATCATCTATTAATGAAAAGGCTGTAAAAGTTTTAGAACAGCATGTTATATTACAGCGAGTAATTTATCAAGAATTTGAATTAGTATTACTCCAAAACAAATGATTTCAAAGCAGTCATTCAGGATAGGATACATTCTGCAGTTAGGAGTCCTGTTTCTGATACAGCACTTTTCGGGTAAATCAAGACAGGTTTGGCACATGCTCTGCGGTGACCCAACATAAATTTCTGGTATAGAAATTTCATTTCATTAAAAGTGTCACACCCATTTTATTCCCACCTCATAAAGCCACCTTTTTAGCTGAAATCATAAGAAGCTATTGCAATTAAATCTGATTTTTAACTAAATGCATATTCAGCAAAATAAAATATAAAGTTATGAAAGCAGTATGCTTATTAGGAACACTCCAACACCAGCTGAGGGTGGGGGAGGAGGGGCAGAGAGGGGATGGCATTAATAAAAAAAGCACAATTTACATCATAGGTAACATAGGACTGCAGTAACTTCAAGGCAGTCGTCAAAAAGTACTGCTAGTCTAGCATTGTCTTTGTAAAATATATGACATTACTCCAAATTTTGAAAGCTTTTCTTTAAAGCACTAAGCTTTGAAGTCTTCAGCTTTTTTCTTCCCCCCCCCCCCCCCCAGTAACAACCTTAGCAAGGTGACCTGGTTACATGGACCTTATCTCTCATTCGAAACAGCAAATTCAGTAAAAATTCAATAGTTAAGATTACTGTGCTTCTGGAAGAACTCCTACTGAAACCAATGAGTTGCATCGGGAGTGTTTTGTCCTTAGTAATCCTCATCTTTGTTACTGGTAATTCAAAGCCAGAATAAGGATCAGAAAAACCCTCTTCAGGCTCTGTCACAGGTTGCGGTATTAAAACTGTATAGGCTTATTAATAAGACAAAGTAGTAATTTGCTCTTTTCATGGATTCTGTCCACTTTCTCTAGCTTGTTGGGGAAGTTTCTTATGAACAGCCCCAAAACACCTGCTGAAGTTCGCCACAGATCAATACACATACAGCCACGATGAAGCTGCTGAAAATGCAACTGTTTGCATGCAAACTACGATTATGGGCATAAAATGTGGTCCCATATGTTATTCATTTTGCTTTAGCATACAGCACATTTACCTAGCCCAGCCCGTGCAATACACAGATTCTATCTTGTTTTACTCCAGTTGCTTCACAGAGCATCCTTAGCTAAACTCTTTTGTATATATCAATTAAAATGCAGGAGTAGGCTAGGCATGCTAGGGAATGCATGTGGAGAGCAATTTAACCCACCCCATTCCATTAATCTACCCAATTTCCTTAAAAAGAGTTGTAATCTCCCTCACAGCAAGTAACATTAAATGTATTGCAAGATACATATGTTCACCAAGTGAACATAATGAGAACATATTTATTTTTTCTAAGAATAATGAGCATACAAAACAATTAATTTCAAAGCTATGCAAGTGCTAATTCACTGACAGAA